AAATAAATAAATAAATAAAAATTATTCTTAAAATTTGAAAACTTGCAACCTTTATCATTATATCAATATTTGCCTTTCCATGATTAATCAATTTACAGTTCAATCAACAAAATTTAGGGTTCAAAAAACAAAAAGAAAAATGAATTACCTATAAGAATTCTCAAACTAAAAAGAAAAGGACAATCTAGATAGACGCGTTTGGTACACGAACACGAAGGAAGAAAAAGCTGCAAAAATCTCAATATCATGTACAAAACATGTACTAAAAATTTTGTATACAAAATTGAATGACGATTTGAAAAATTGTACCTTATGCTATAGCCAAGTGAATCGAACACATCAAAATAACCTACTAAGTATGCCAATTCTACTAGAGACCTCTGTGAAGTGATGATGTTATAAAACTGTTCATAATTCTATGCTTAATGTTCAAGAACAGCATTCTTTAAGCTCGCCATGTAGGTCAAATATATGGTCCACAAGTATGAAAACGAACTGTTCATCAAGGGCTGCCAAAAACCACATGAAAAAACCATAGTCATTCATTAATTAAACTACCATAAGCTCTGAGGTAATGCCAGATTTTGGCATTCCAAAACACACTTCATGAAAGTTCCAATAGGGGAAAAAGATAAATAATCGAAAATTCTTAAACCGTTATTCATCATCACGTTTTAAGCGAAGAGAGTAAAAGTACCTGCAAATGGACAGGGATGATTTTGTATGTGAAAAAATCACATATTGGCCAATATAGAAGACCATTTAACAAAGTGGGGAGTAGGTCTCTCTTCAATCTGGCAGTAATCTCAACCCCACTCTCACCTTAAATTGCCACAAGAACAATATTTTTAGAAAGTCTGAACCAACACAGTAACCATATCTATGCAAAAAGTTGTTAGCAAAAGCTGAAGTTAGTTTACATAATGAAATAAGCCCGTATTCTCTATTCACACAAATGAGTCCAAAATATGTGGTCTAATAGGCTTAAGACCTTAATCTTTCCTGTCCTTTGTTCTCAAATTATTTTAGACTTGTCACTTCTCAGTGGGCTTAGGAGAAAAAGTTTGAACGTTGTCAGCTGATGCCAAAATTTTTAAAAATCTTCGCTTATCTATATTTTAGTTAAGCAATATGAAGGAGTAATGAAGAAGCAATTATAAACTAGCTTTCCTGTCCGACCCAGGATCCAACCACTGAAATCAAACCAATTATGAGCAGAATTTTTTACATCATTTCTCATATTAACACCCAAAACTCCGTTTCAGATGTTTATAATGCATGGCAATGGGATCGCAGGGAAAGGCGAAACTTCAAAGAAATTTCACCTTCTGGGTTAACCAAGATTGAAGTGTCCTTGGAGTAAGCCCAGATCCTACTGTATTTGTTTGCTAATCTCAAATAGAACATATATGGACACCTCCTCACCAAGGCCTCTCTTTCTGTTTCTCTCTCCCTCCCTTCTAGCTTTTTCTCTTCCTCTATTTATTGTTATTCCTTCATTTCTTCTTTTTCAGATTGAAAACCAAAAGTTTTTTCTTTATAGCAATGAGATCACCACCAGAAAATAGAAAACACTAGTATTTAACTATACTAAAAAGATTCGGGCCCTAGAAGTGAAGAAGCCTACTACAACAATGAAGATGCAAAAAGCAATTGAAAATGGAATCCCCATTAAAATATGGAAGTTCCTTAGAGAGGTAGACATTTCAGGGTGCCTAATAAATGGAGGAGAGTGTTAGAGTGCATATTTATAGGAAATAAAGGAGTCATATTTGTATTATGGAAGCATGAAAGAGCATGAGTCATAATTAAGGAGTAATCAAAAGATGTATGAGTACTAATTTTCTTTAGTTAGAGATGACCCTATGAGACATCCTAGATGAGGTCTCCTCACGTATATTATTCGTTGATTTATAGTTTTAACTGATTAAACTAGGATGAGGATGCATCATAAGTTATACAAAGGAACACTTTGGAATCTAATAGTATTAAATTAAGTAGAACTAAGACGAAATACATAGAATGTCATTTGAGTCATCGTGCAAATAAGGATAAGAGCGAAGTCATAACAGAGGATCATGCATCCCAAATACTATTATGTTCAATATTATGTTCTGTTGTTCATAAAAGAATTAAAGAGAACATAACACAAAAGATTAGAGTAGGTTGGACAAATGTAAGCATTCTGCAAGGATATATCTTACCAAACTATACCTATCGAACAAAAGACAAGTACCACAAAACAAATGTTAACCAAACACTCAGCTGTAGAGAATAGTTGGTTGTTAAAGAACAAAATGACCACAACATGAACTTAGCAAATTTGAAGAATGTTAACATAGAAGTGTGACCATGGAATAGATAAAATAGATGAGCACATATGCAAATAAGGGAAAGTGACATCAATTGAGGATAAATGAAGAGAATGACGACATTAATAATTGGGGTATATTTTGGGTAGACACAGTCCCCATTCATAAGAATGACACTACCACACTAGAACGATTCCGAAGAAAAGATATTGACCAAAATTAACAATGTACAATGTGAACGCAAAAAATTGAACCAGAATGTAGAAATGGGTCAAGCATGTACGACATAGACGTTCTTACTAGGAGGAAGCGATGGTGTCCAATCTGCATTGGATAACAACGTGCCTCAAGCACAATTGTGAGACGTGTATATTATTTAAATTTTCAACATATGAGAGACATGGCACATTATGAAGTGGACTGGAAAAAGTAAAAAACACAGTAAAACTCCCTTCATGGTGGTAAAACAACAATATCCTCCATGTCAGTGTGCTTAAACCATTTTTTTGCAAATAAGGAGGAAGCATCCAGAAATAACCCGAAGAAACCTGAATTTGAAGTGGAGAAAGCATAGAAGGGGTTGCTGAACTATTCTTGACCATCGAGTTATTCAAAGCCTTCAAGAAAGATCATCAAGAGTACTTGGTGAAATGGAGGTGATACAACAGCGAGGATAATAGAAAGAATGGACTGCATGCCCAACCTTGGCAACACGACGCTAATTGGTCCTGCTATTGGAAGAATTTACACCAATTGATCTTCCTCTTAGAAGAATTCAACTGGTTTAAAGGGAATTGGTAAGTAATATTTGCATGTTAATTTTCCACCTCATAGGCGTATTCATTTGTACCATGAAGATGAAGGTTTCTTATAATCTCTCCGAAGTCTATTTTACATTAGTCAACAATGATTTGCTAATTTCCCCAAATTTATATGGAAGGCAGACAACAGAATTAACATGATCATTGGTATTGATCCTTTGCTGCTTTCAATTGGTCCTTTCTGACCTTAGCATTGTAGCTGATCTCCGGTGAGTCAGAAAACTACTGGATGCCATGGACTTAGGAGATAAATTCATCAATAATGAGATTCAGTAACATCTTAAGTGAAGAATGAAGTATAATTGATGACTAGCTTAGTCATAACAGATATTTGGCATCACATTCCAAGCATCACATTCCAACTCTTGTATATATCATTGAATAC